ATTTCATTAAAAACAGAACATCATTATTTATAAACTGATGCCAGCCAGCAATTTGTTGAGTACATTCTGTGCTGCAGCACATAGACAGTAGGCTATACTAACCTATACCAGTGACCACCTTGCAAAGAAAAATCTTCAGTGTTTTACCTGCATGGAAATGCGGCCGCACCGCTGGAGCTCATTGCCTGAGGTTAGGGCGATGGTAGTGGCGATGGCAGGAGGAGGGCTGGTTTTCAGGCTGTTGCATGTGCAAATGAGTTGCGACAGGGCTTGCAGGGTGTCAATCCGCAGCTTAATGAACTCGCACTGGAATGTAAGGGGGCTCAGAGGGGTGCTGGCAGCCTAAAGGGAAGGGATTAATCAGATGAATGTGGATACACACCACAGTTAAATAGCTATATAGGTCTTCTGAGTTTACCTAACAAGATACAGTCAGGCATTAAGTGAGTTAATCCATTAACAATCTGAGATGCTGTGAAATCAACTTTAACAAAAGGACTCCGGCCTGACTTTCAGCAGCTTTAAGCACCCTGCCACTGGTGAAAGCAGTGCACCATTAATGATTTTTACAAGCAGATGCATGGCAGTTAACTGACTGTGAGGGAGGCGATGCCCTTTTGGTAGGAGCGCAGGGCCTCAGCAATGGCGCTCATGGCTCCACTGTAGTTTCCATCTTCCACATGATTGAGGCACTGCTCAGCCTGGGAAAACTCCTTCAGGCTGTTTAGCCAGAAGTAGAAGTGTTCTGATGCCACACGAGTCCGCAGGCTCTGGTAAAGTTCACTGGAGAACTCGTGACATCCCTGCAAATGAATGACAAGAATTTTATGAGTTTCAGGTGTTTCACTGTGACAAATTTTGATTCAAACTAATAGATGCTTGTGTCCAGGTGAACCTTTACCGGTTCTAACAGACTTGAAAGCACAGTCCTGTTAGAGCATAGACCTATATTTTCATGTTAGCGGCTCCAACAAAGGAGTAACAATTAAGACTGTCCAGGCCTAAACACACCAGACAACTTCATACTGGCACACACCCATCAACAGGCTGTCAAAAGATGCCTACCAAGTGAGAATGTATCTTATAACTTCTATCCCTCATTATCTGACAGTATAGCTGCCATTAGACCGCCTGTTGCAACAAAACCCTATTAAAGTAAACAAGCAGATATTGTGAAGTATTAGATATATGCAAGCAGAAAATATTACCATGCGTGAAGCTTGTCGTGCGATGCGGTACACCGTCCAACCATTAGCAACATTCTCCAGCTGTTGTTTGATGACGGTCTTCACCTCAGCTGACAGAGATGCCTGGCTGGCGACAAAAATCACTGTTGCCAAGGAAACCTATAGCAATCATGGGAGGAGAGATGAGTCAGCGGTTAAGGTAATATGTAGGCTACAAAATCAAATAAGCTGAAAACAAGCTTGTATGTGCACATTGATTTTCCATGATTTGACTCATTTACGATCTCTCACCAGAAGCTCTTGCTGCTTGTCAGTGGAGGAGTGACTGGCCACTCTGTAGAGTTCCACCAGATCTCCCAGCATACCATCACCCAGCACTGGGAGGTGGGTGGTGATGGCTGCTAGAGCGTGGCACATGAGAACGCGCGAGGAGTCGCAGGATAAGTGGAGCTGGCCGAGCAGGAACTCCACAGCTGATTGGCTGAGATGGGGTCGACTTTTCATCAGCTTAACCAGTGAGGTGAGGGCTGTCTAGGGTTGGAGAAAAAAAGGAAGTACAAACAACAACAACAAAAAACTAAGTCTTACTGTTTTATTTATGTCACAATACAGACTGGGATTGCACACCGAAGTTAATCAATCATCATCATCACATGTTGCCAGGAGGTGGATGGCAGGTGAGTTCAATGTTTTAGGGAAGGAACTATTAAAGTTCTAAGGATTAAACTTTAGAGTCACATTTGGGCAGTAGATATCAATGACTGATTCCTGTTTATAGAATTTGCATCAAAAAAA